TATAAAATGTATATACTTTGTTAAGGATTTCCTACTGGGCTTTATGCTCACCCTACGGGATTTTTGTGCAGGAAAAGATGTGGTGATGCCGCCTAACTAAAGGCGAGGAAATGTGTGTTGAGAGTACGAGACTCTCATTTTGCTGTGACTCTGTGTGTAAGCCAAGGGTTGTATGTGTGTGGGTTTGAATAACCGTTTTGTGTAACCAAGCTCCAGCCTTAGAAACTTGTAAACCCTTGGGGGTATTAATTTGCTTATTTACTTATTATTGGATTAATGTATTGTTGCATAAAGAACTATTGTATCATGTAATGGAAGTTTGGAAATTTATATTCGGTTTTCCTTGAAAGAGTCATGATTGTTGTATTATCATTTGGGCTAGAAATTTGGGGCGTTACAGAATTGAAACTGACGTTTTGCAAAATCTATTTCTAAAGGCGATTCTTGAATAAATGAGCGAGCATAAGGAATATTAGGGGAATAATGAATGATTAGCTACCTTGAGTATTTCCTTTTTTTTTTCAATATTTGGGGTCAGTTGCGAGTCTTGTTGTTTTTATATCGAGCATATGTCTCGATCTGCACTCATTGCGTCTCTCTCGTGTCTGTTAATGTGCGTATGGCTTAAAGTTCAATAGAGTGGCATGCTCAAAATTTCAGACATGAATCTTCATTCTAAATTCAAAGCAAGTCTATGTGTGGAAGTCATAAACAAACTGAGAGTGCCCGCGCAAGGGGCATCAAGTCTATGATTATTGCAAAGTGCATACGAGAAATCCATCACTACTTCGGCAACTAGAATAAGTTCTCCACACTCTATGGGACATGGGAGAAACATAAGCAGATTGGGTGGCAGCTGTTCTATGATATGTTGATCCCCATCACAGGCACCTGCATAATGTTGAAAAATGTGAACGGTGGCTAGACACTAGGGGCAAGAGTACATTTGATTGGGCTATCAACTAAACAAGGGGCATGAACCATACTTTTCTCCCGATCTACTCAAGTTATCTGTCAGGCACTTTTCCTGGGTTAAGGTGAGCTCACCCCTATGATGATTTTGATATGATTCAACCTTTGACAGTTATCTCCGACCAATTCAAGACTCTCTTTGGTTGCCTTCATTCCTCTAGAGCTTCAGCTTCCTAAGGACAAGGTCCTCATCCTAGCTCTAGACATGACACAAGTATATCCTATTTTTCCATAGCTTCCCTAGACATTCACATACTGTTTTACTCTGCTTTATTCCGCGTTACTCATCACTTTGCTTGGTTTCCATTTTTTAAAAACAGTTTTCAGAAAATTCTACACTCTTATTTTCCGTGTTTTTTTATTTTTACTGAATTTTTTAAATATTTTATGCAAATTTTTTACTTTTTAGACACACCTAACATAAATACACCTAAAAAGTAAAAAAAATTGTACAAAAAATCTTTTAAAAATTCACTAAATACCAAAAATACAAAAAAAAAATACAAGAATTTAGTACATTTTTTTTATTTTTATGTATTTCTTAATTTTTTTAAAATATTTTTTCACATTTTTTTTACTTTTTAGACACATCTAAGTAAGGTGCATCTAAAAAAGTAAAAAAAATGTTTAAAATTTTAAAATATTCACTAAAAATAAAAAAATATGAAAATCAAAAAACTCAATTTTTAAAAAAGTTAATCCAGAAAACTCAAACCAAACACAGTGCATGCTTTCATCTCTGTTTGCAGCCTCCCGCAGCTTATACTGAGTGTTGCCTTGAGGTAATCACTACAGGAAAAAAGGGATATGATGGCGTTTTTTTAACGACGTTTTTTTAAACGTCACTGTTATTAGTATTTAACGGCGTTTTATAAACGCCGCATATTCTATTAGACAAGACGGCACCGTTTTATAATGGGAAAACGCCTCCAAATGCGGTGCCACACGCGCCTCCTCTTGTGAAACCTTATTTTGAATCAGAACCCTCTCTAAGCATTTCGATCGAAGATTCAGAACTCTCTCTCTCTCTCTCAACTCTTATACGCACACATCTCTCTCTCCCTCTCAACCCTCTCAAAGCTCCATCGAAGATTCAGATCGAAGCGATTTCGAAGCTCCATCGAAGCGATTTTGAAGCTCCATTGAAGATTCAGATCGAAGCTCCATCGAAGCGATTTTGAAGCTCCATCGAAGATTCAGATCGAAGCGATTTCGAAGCTCCATCGAAGCGATTTTGAAGCTCCATCGAAGATTCAGATCGAAGCGATTTCGAAGCTCCATCGAAGCGATTTTGAAGCTCCATCGAAGATTCAGATCGAAGCGATTTCGAAGCTCCATCGAAGCGATTTTGAAGCTCCATCGAAGATTCAGATCGAAGCGATTTCGAAGCTCCATCGAAGCGATTTTGAAGCTCCATCGAAGATTCAGATCGAAGCGATTTCGAAGCTCCATCGAAGCGATTTTGAAGCTCCATCGAAGATTCAGATCGAAGCGATTTCGAAGCTCCATCGAAGCGATTTTGAAGCTCCATCGAAGATTCAGATCGAAGCGATTTCGAAGCTCCATCGAAGCGATTTTGAAGCTCCATCGAAGATTCAGATCGAAGCGATTTCGAAGCTCCATCGAAGCGATTTTGAAGCTCCATCGAAGATTCAGATCGAAGCGATTTCGAAGCTCCATCGAAGCGATTTTGAAGCTCCATCGAAGATTCAGATCGAAGCGATTTCGAAGCTCCATCGAAGCGATTTTGAAGCTCCATCGAAGATTCAGATCGAAGCGATTTCGAAGCTCCATCGAAGCGATTTTGAAGCTCCATCGAAGATTCAGATCGAAGCGATTTCGAAGCTCCATCGAAGCGATTTTGAAGCTCCATCGAAGATTCAGATCGAAGCGATTTCGAAGCTCCATCGAAGCGATTTTGAAGCTCCATCGAAGATTCAGATCGAAGCGATTTCGAAGCTCCATCGAAGCGATTTTGAAGCTCCATCGAAGATTCAGATCGAAGCTGATTTCCAGAAGCTTAGATCTGAACATTGACCCCTCAATTACTCGTATTTCAAGCTCAAATCGGTACTCTCTCTCTCTCTTTCTCTCTCTCTCTCTCTCTCTCTCTCTCTCTCTCGCTCTACATGAAGATAATATAAACATGATGGAAAATTTAGAGTTATATTTTATACTAATATGCTAATCTGGTGCCTCTGTATCTGTGTGCTGCTTTGGTGTACCTGTGCTCTATTCTGCTGTATATGTGTTCTGGTATGCTGTTACATTGGATTTTTTTTTTTTGATACTCTGATTGTTTGCTTCAAATTGGACTTCACAGTTTTTTTTGTACAAAAATTATATCGGTATAGTATTGCTTAATATGTAATGATATGCATTGTGTGTATGTGTACTAATACAACCTCATATATAGTTAGAGTACAACATATTAAAATCAACATTGAAAAAAAATGAACATGAACATTAATATTGTTTGACTTGCGCGTTAAACATTCTAATAATTTTTAGATGCTAAGAGGAATAAAATCAAATAGTAGAGAGGACTTAGTGTGAGAAGTATATATATATATATATACGGCTGTTTTATAATGTTTTAGATGAAGAAAACCAGTTAGTCTAACAAGAAAACCAGTTAGTCTAACTAGTTAGTGTCGTGTCCTTAGGTGGAAGTCTTATTTGCCTAGCACTCGAGCCGATTATGCATAATATGTTGTTGAAATGAATCAGAGACTTGTGTTGTGCTTTGTGGGATGGTTGATGTGTTGTGTTTCTTGCAATATTTTGAGTAACAATATGAGGATTGTGCTATGATTTCAACCATCGGAATATTGGATTCATTGTGCTTATATATGTGTCTTGGTATGCTGATTATTCCTCTTATGGGACAATCTTTACCATTCGATTTCACTAGTAATATTATGGCAAGCTCTTATTAACCACGGCAACTGGTGCATGCTAAAATGTATCAAAACGCCATAAACAGATATTTATGTATTCTATATGGAAATGCATATCAATTAATATTTGACTTTGTTTGTGCTTGCTTTCATTTGAAGGCATAATAGTTTGGTCTTTATTGATTGATTTGAGAGAGCAATGTATTTCTTGAATCTATCATAATCTATCAAGAACATTGTAGAAACTTTTGGTTTCTTCATTAATATGCTTCATACTAGATATGCTTCTAGTATGCTTGATAGTACTAATTCAGATTGCACCACCGGGATGCAATCATTAATGGTGCATGCATGCATAAATAGCCTCAGACTCGTCCAAGAACCTTCATTAGAGATACCTAGTAATCCTTAGACTCGTCCAAGAATCTTCATTAGAGATACCTAGTCATCTTTAATGAAGCTCTTCTTGGATTGTCCAGTTTGGATAGTTCAGGAGCACAAGTCTGCATTGTAGTTAGTAGTTCTACTACTTATAGTCCATTTTGTAGAGATTTCATGTAGTAACTCATTGTGTTCTCTGAGTGCATACTAGACAAGGTGTAGCAGTACACCTAGTCTATGTCATGTATTTGGAGAACCATGGGGAGATACTGCCGAAATTTCGTTAGAGATGAACAGAGCAGTATGAGCTGCTTTTTACAATATAGACTGTGCATTCCTGAATGAGAAAGTAGGATGGACCAACATATTAGAGACCAATTAGAGGTGAATGATGTCATATCGCATGCATTATAAGGCATTTAATTGAGGTTAAGATTAATTAGAATGGACCGGTAATTTTGAGCATTGTTGATTTGGCAGTGACATTTGTAGTGTAGGACAGAGTCAGATGGATAAAAGTTGGATAAATCAGTATAAGTTGCACCCGGAATACATACAAAGGGTTAAGGAATTTATTAAATTTGCATGCGAAAATAAGCCATTGTTGAATGAAGTCACGTGTCCATGTAAACAGTGTCGTAATGTCAAATTGGTGGAGAAAGGCCTGTTAGTGGAACATTTAATGATCAATGGGTTTCTTTCAAGTTACACCAGTTGGATTTTTCATGGAGAGAATTTGTCGTCGCTTGTGCCATATAATGTGAATGTCGGGCAAACTGATTCGAACGATGGTGATGACACTTATGAAATGCTATACGAAGGATTTGGACTTCCTCTACCAAGCTTTATTCACGAGGTAGCAAGTTTTGCTATGAAAGAAGGTCCAGATGAGAAAACCGAAAAATTCTTCAATTTATTGAAAGAGGCCGAAAGAGAGTTGTATCCGGAGTGTCAGAAGTTTTCAACGCTCTCATTTATTGTTCGGTTATTGCACATCAAGTGCCTTAGTGGATGGAGTGACAAGTCTTTCACGATGTTGCTTGAGCTTTTGAAGGATTCGTTCCCAAAGGGTGAAACTTTGCCAAAGTCATTTTATGCAACTAGGAAACTTCTTAGGGACTTGGGCCTCGATTATCATAAGGTACATGCATGCCCAAGGGATTGTTCACTATATTGGAAGGAAACAGCTAGTATGGATGATTGCATAGTGTGTCATATGCCTAGATACAAACAGTTTGAGGGGGAGGAGAATGATGTTAAGAAGAAGCAACAAAGAATTCCACATAAGATTGTTAGATACTTTCCATTGATTCCAAGGCTTCAAAGATTGTTTATGTCATCCAAAACATCTTCTTTAATGAGATGGCATGCAGAGGGCCGAATTGATGACAGCAAAATGAGACATCCCGCTGACTCTCCAGTCTGGAAAAATTTTGATAATTTGTATCCCAAGTTTGCGAGTGAGCCACGCAATGTCAGACTGGGTTTAGCAGCGGATGGATTCAATCCATTCAAGGCAATGAATGTCTCTCACAGAAGTTGGCCAGTTATTATAATGCCATACAATTTGCCACCATGGTTGTGCATGAAGCAGCCTCATATGATGATGACATTGCTCATCGATGGTCCTTCTTCACCTGGAAATAATATTGACGTCTACTTAAGCCTTGTAGTAGATGAATTGAAAGAACTGTGGGAAAACGGTGTTGACACGTATGATGCAGAAACTAATCAGATATTCCGAATGCATGCTGTGTTATTGTGGACTATAAATGATTTTCCTGCCTATGCAATTTTGTCTGCATGGAGCACGAAAGGCGCTTTAGCTTGTCCTTGTTGTAACACACATACTCGTTCTCGATATTTGAAGAACGGAAGGAAATTATGTTACATGGGGCATCGTCGCTGGTTGAATGGGGGTCACAAATTTCGGAAAGCTAGTGCGTCTTTTGATGGCACTTGTGAATTCGAATCATGTCCAACTCGGTTATCAGGGGCTAATGTGCTACAACAACTAGGCCCTAAGTTCAAATTGAATTCTAAGCGTCAACAATCTAGCAAACGGAATAGAAAGGGGAAAGAAAAAGAGGAAAATGAGGACTCGGGTCATAATTGGAAGAAGAAGAGTATTTTCTTTGAGCTATCATATTGGGAGCATAATTTGATTCGCCACAATCTTGATGTGATGCACATTGAAAAGAACGTGTGTGATAATGTATTGTGGACGATATTAAATGTTGATGGGAAAGGGAAGGACAATTTAAATACTCGTCGAGATTTGCAAGATATGGGAATTCGGAAGGCACTACATCCTCAGAAAAGGGTTGGGAACAAGTATTATTTGCCTCCTGCATGTTTTGCCATGAACAATAGAGAGAAAAGTCTATTATGCACACTTCTAAAGAATATCAAAGTTCCAGATGGTTACGCATCCAATATTTCTCGTCGGGTTAACCTCAAACAACGGAGCATATCTGGACTGAAAAGTCATGATAACCATATACTCATGCAACAAATACTTCCAATAGCAGTGAGAAATTTGTTACCGAAGAAAGTGGTTGAACCATTAATTGAGTTAAGCAATTTCTTCAGGCA